AAAAAAAAATCCCTAAATTGAAAAATCCCTAAATTAAAATCCCTATTTGGTCACCAGTATGAACGTTACTTGATTAATTATCCATAAATGTGGATTTCATTTAGGGATGAATTCAGGGAACCTGATTTGTGGAAAATGATAGACATTCGTCGGTGTAGAATACAGTTTCACTTCCAACGAGGGCTGCGCGAGTACGAGTACAAACTGTACTTGTATTCACGCACCTCTAAATGCAGAATATGGTTTCAGTCTTTGTCGAATACTAGTGCTTCTCAGAGTTCTCCTATCTGTATCAAAGCAAGAGGCTAAAAATAGTGATCAGTTCACTGCCTGACTCTGATCTCGGTATCGTTGATGGGCACAGCTTCACCCAAGGTTCTGAAGCTTATGCCAAGTCTCATTAGAGTTACCAACTCGATATCATTGCATTATACGGCTTCAACTCACAACCTAGAGCCCCTACCAATGTTCGATCAAGTTCCTCTTGCTGTATCAATGCAAGATACAACATGAATTCCGACTATAGATCTTCTCGCCCTTATCGTCTCGCTTGCGGCTTCGCTATTATTATAGGACATGGTTTGATTTCAGAGACTAGAGCTCCTTCCGGTTTTCGTCAAAGTTATGAATATGGTATGAATTCAGGACACGATTTCATAACAGGCTTTACAGCCTTCGACAGTTCCCGATCGAGTTTTCATTTCGGTATCAATGTGGAATACTGCCTCAGTCATACCCTAAAGCTTCTACCGCTTCTTCTTAAACTTCTGACTTGGATTTCGATACGGGACACTGTTTCAGCCCCCGCTTCAGATGCATCACTGGGTTTTCTCTCGGTGCCTATCAATGTGTTAGACTAGAGACGTCTGTAATAACGGCCTAGAACCACTACAAGTTCTATATCTGATTCCGATCTAGCTCTTACTTCAGAACACAGCTTCAACTCAAGCGGTAAAACCCTATCTATCCTCGTTTCGCTTTTCACCTTGATATCCATTCGGAGCACGGCTTCGGTTCACACAGAGAGCCACTCATAGCTTCTCAAAAGAGATCATTTTTTTAATAAACATTGAGCCATTTAAATAAATCTTCATAGCTGTTGAAAGATTTATAACTGTTTAAAATATGGCGCATTTACAATATTATCGTGACTATTTAAAATTTAGCGTTTCATCCATTTGTCTCTACGTATTTTTGAGTAAGTGGTGAAAACAAGTTTCATGTAACAAACGATTTTCAGAAAAGAATTTAATGAAATTTTAGTTTTAGCATTTAAAAACATAGACCTAATAATTGCTAGATTTTTCGTCAGTAGAATAATTTTGTGGAGCTCACGTATATTTTCGAAGAAAATAGTGAATGTAAGTTTTAAGGTCAAGGTTTCATGCCCCTCCCTCCCCTTACAGACAGGTCCCCATTACAGACCTTAGCAACCAGGTTTAAAATAATGGATATACATATACATATATATATATAACAGCTGCATTCGCCATATAATTCAAAGCTTCTTATAATAAAAATGTAAAATTAAAGAAAAAAACAGTGTTAAAAATGAAAAATACTGAGCGAATAGCAACAAAGAAGACGAAAAATAAGGGCATCTGTCAGCAAATTAAAAAAAATTCGTGATTTTATACTATCTATATTGCATATTAGTCTAATGAAGCTGAAAAATATATATGTGAGTTCCACATTTCAGCTCCAAAGAGGCTGCACATAACAAGCTTTTTATTTTGTTCTGAAGAAGTCTACGTTGCTCGATTAAATATTACGTCATATCATTATTAATGCATCTGACTAATCGTGATGTCATTTCTAATGAATCTGACTGTATAAGATTCAATCATGTATTTACATTGTCACTTGACAGTTCGCTCAAATCCAACTATTTTCTTCTCAAAGTATTCAACATACACATAGAAGTACTAGCTAAATGAGCAGGTCATTGTGATTGTAGATGTTGTGAAGGGTAAAGGTATGAGAAAAAGAGATCACAAAAATCCTACGCACATATCCAAACCTACACTCATACTCTCATCAACATTGTTTCTCACTTACACATCCATCCACACATTGTAAAGTTTTTGAAACCAAAATAAACCTTTTCCTTATTTATCCACATATAGACCTATTTTCAGACCGTAATACTCCATATTTGTAGTACACTGTATTAGAAAAGCTCACAATATGTATATCTGTATCCTTGTCGTTTCATATAGAAAATAGTTGCCTGAATTCATCAGTTGCATACTGTTGTATTGCTGCAAGTACTTACCGTGGTAACAGAAAGCTAATTCTTCACTCGTCTTTCCTTTTTTTTATGCCTTTCAGTACATTATTTTTTTGCATGACAAAATATCGCTGAAAAATACTATGACAAGTTATTTCTCAACCGTTTGTTTTAGCTATCCGTGAAAAACGAAAGATCTAATACGAAATGACACATGTGAAATTTCGACAAAGAAAACTTTTGCTTTGGTTTATGTGTGGTTGTCTTGCAATATTTACGATTTATTGTTTGTATTTTTTACTGGCAACTTATCGTCTTTATAGCTTTCATGCTACGACGTCATCAAATGAAGTCGCACTAAGTCAAAGTACACAGAAAGTAAATAAAACAACTTTCTTAAGAAGTTCAAATGTTAAGTCAACTTGGACTTGTACGGGTAATATGAATTATGAATCTGAATGGCAGAAAAGGACTTGTGCATTTAAAAATATCTGTTATAATAAAGAAAAAAAAATCTTTCAGTTTTATCGTAATCCAGGCAGTATTAAAACACCAATTTTATTTGAGCCTAAGCTAGGTCATATATATGATTTTCATATAAATAATCATGGCTTTGTTGGCCTTTTTTCGCGCTCTTCTCCTCTTCAATCATGGGGACCAACAATTGTTGAAGAATGGTTACCGTCCCCCAATAGAGTACCCTATTTAGAACATGTTCATGTTTTATTTACGCATTGGTTTACTTACTTTAATCCTGGTCATGTCATTTGGGAAGACATAGCATCTACCTATTTTGCTATGGTTAGGTTAAATGAATATGATAGAAATGCTGTTCTTCTTGAATATCGACGTCTTCCCAAGAAAGGAAACCAATTTTATCGAATGTTTCATAACATAATTCCTGCTTTTGCTGCAAAAGTCGATAGTCTTGACAATTATATGAATAATTTTTCTTCACCTTTTGTATGTTTTCGAACTATTGTAGCTGGTGGTGCTACAGCGATGTTTTCTATTGGCAATGAAGCATATACAAATGGAAAAGAAAGACTCCTCTATAACTATCGTACTGCTATCCTACGATATCATGGTGTGAATATATCTCATTTGCCGTCACGTCATCGTATTGTACTAGTCAACAAAACTCAAACGGTGCATCGCAGCTTACGTGCAATTAAAAATCTTGCCGAAGTTAAACATTTCATACATTCGACATATCCAAAGATACAACTTGATGTAATTGACTGGAGTAAATATACATTTACTCAACAAATGCATCAATTATACAAGACAACTGTATTAATCACACCATGTGGTGGTATCTCAACAATAATACCATTTTTACCTGAAGGAACGCATGCAATCGTAATGGATTTCTATGTCAACAAAAACGCATACCGGGAGCCTGCGAGATATGAAGTAGGAGAATCAGCTTCGATGGATGGGGGTTTTTGATATCGTTCATAAAAGTCATCCAGCTGTGAGAAAGTAGAAGAAGTAGCGAAAACAGAGTAGTAATGAAGCGAACAAAAATAACATTTGCAGTTTCTATATCAATGTTGAAATGTTGACACTAATATCGCTGGCATTGAAGTCTAGTGAAAAACTGAATACATTCTCACTTACGATTACCTTAGCAGCAAAGAAATGGCACCTATCGTTACTGAACAAGAACGACTTGATGATGTTAGTCGACATTGAAACATACTAAAGGATGTTTCATAAATAACAACTCCATTTTTATTATTTTTGTATTTTTGCTGTTTAAAAGTAAAGACGTATTGGATATAATCTGTGTAAAAAGTCTTGGTACAAAAATGTTTCTAGTCTTTTATTTCAACACATTCTTTTTTATTTCTTTTTCATTATAACAAACAAAGTTCTAAGCGCTAAAGTTTCAGCAATCAAAAAGAACAAGCTTTGTAAGGTCCTTTATCAGCAATTTTTCGAAGCTGTTTACGTATACCTTAAAAATAGTTTGTACACGTTTTAAATCGATTTCTTTGAATTTTGCTGTAATTCTTCTCTTCCCTTGATCGATAGTTGTTGCATTCCAATCCTTGTCATATAGCATGTCATCAATAATTGATCACAAAGTTTCTATTGAAGGTGATTTTACACAGTTTTGAGGATTGTATTCAATTGGCACAACTGTTACTTTATTATCTTTCAAATACTATTTGAGATCATGACCATAATGACTCAAAGCCAAATCGAGTCAGCATAAAACTTTTTGTTTTATGTGATAATTCTCGATGAATGGCATTAAACGTAGTTTAATACAATTATTCAAATAAATTGTTTGAGTAATAGCCTGCTTTTGTTTTGACAAGATATTGCTTCGAAATGCCATTTTCAGTCACAGAAATCCGAACTAGTAATTTTGGTCCAATTTTTTGGTTCTTTTAAATTTAACATGTGGAGCTGTAGTGTGTGTATTCGACGAATAGAAACCACGATTGGCGGGTACAGCCTCACTGTGCAAGAAAAAATATTTTTCATCATTCATTAACAATTCAAAATCACCTTTTAAAAATAAACGATATACACGACGAGTATGAGTCGGAATTTCTTGACGTTGTTTTTTAGTATATTTTGGTGCTCGTTGTTTTTTGCAACAGCATATATCTATAGCTTTCAATTAGTTGGCAATTGGTTTTAAATTTTAGAGTTATTCGACGTAAAGAAATACCAGTCTTGTGATTCGCTAGCTGTTTCAGTTGTGTTAATTGTCCACGTGATAATTCTTTAGACGACTACATCTAGGCTTGTCTTCAATATGGCCACAGTTTTCATACTTCCTGATAATATTGCGCATACATTAAAAAAAAGGTGCCATACGGAATCCTAAACGGTTCCTAGCTTTGAAACAAAATTGAAACCCTTTACGGTTCTACATAGATAAATTTTTTTCCTTTTTGCAAAAAAAGGCTCATCATGATAACTTTTCCACTAGATTCATTGTCATAATAATAGGCGTATGCACTACAAAACAATAAGGTGTCATATAGAATCATTTTTTCTCGAGAATATAAACTTTGAAAAGTTTCATAAAAACCTAAGATGCCTCAAAATGATTGTGAGTGGTCGGAAAAACATTTTCAAAGCTTTCATAATCTTCTCAAGCACTTTTTAAAGGTTTTGCAATATTCTCAAAAATGATGTTAGATTTCGTAGAAATCACAAAATCTTGAAATGGTTCGGTATGGTACCATTTTTTTCCGTGTAGCAGAGGTCTAAGCAGACCACCGAGCCCGCCTGCTTGTCACAGGTCAAGTAAGATGCTTAAAATAGGCAGGTCATCTGTCTGCCGTTTTGTTTTAAATTTTCAATAAAAAACTTGATTTTTTTAAATAGAAAGTACAGATATCAATACATAGTATGGAGAATCTTTGCTCTGGACGATAAGAAATTATCTTTGTATCACTCTGATTTATCACAATCAGGACTATTAACAAAGTACGATTACATTCGTCATTGTCTATTTATTTATTTATCCATTTCGGTAGGTTACTGTTCGCACTTTTTTATTGGTTGTTATTGAGATTTTACATAAAGCATTTACGAAGTCTTTTGTTCCTGATTCATATTTATATTGTTGTAATGCGGACGGACACAATAAGTCCTCTTAAACAAGTTCATCAAATTCAGTAAAAAGATTTTTACTCAAAAACAGTTTTTTTTCTAAATTTTAAAAGCTTCCTTTTTGTCTTTACTTAGCAGTTAGATACCTAATTAAATTAGTAGATCTTTCGCTTTATCATGCTATTTTGATATCAGCAACTTCATAATTTTCTTATAAAGACAGTTTTTACTTACACTCCATTATTATCCTAATATCAGTATACAAAAAAACGTACACAGGCCTACGAAAACCAAGCATGTTTGGGCCTGTGCAGTGTAGTTTGACGAGGAATGTTCTCTTGTAAAAGATGGTTTACAGTTCCCTTTTTCTGTTTGTTTG